TCAGTGGCACATCAAGAAGCTCAGCTCAGCCTCCTCTAATCCATCCTCCTCCCCCACCACGTCCTCGCATGCTCCCATCGTCACCACCACCACATCCGCCTGTACAGAGAAGGGGGGAATGTAGGAACAGGAAAGGAATATCTATCTTAGCCACTCTGAGCCACTCTGAGCCACTCTGCATGACGCTCAACTACGCTGAACCGCTGGGAGCCACTTTCCACTCCTCAGCACTCTGAGCCAGAGCTAAACCACTTCGAAGCAATTTGAGCCACTCTGAGATACTCTGGACCACTTTGAACAGTTCTTAACCACTCTGAGCCACGCACACCTGAGCCACACTCACCTGAGCCACTCGGAGTTACTCTGAACCACTGTAAGCCACTCCAAGACTCGCCCCACCACCACTCTGAGCCGCTTTGGACCGCTCTGAGCTCACCTGCATGCGCAGGTCGTGCAGGAACTGGGCCACGTCTAGTTGCAACGTCTCAGCTGTCCCATCGTCCTCTGCAATGCAAAACACCTGAAGCAAGGGAAGGAGGCGGGCGGGATGAAAGCAAGGATTCGAGTGAGTGTGCGCGTGTGTGAGGGGGATTCGAAGCACGTCAACTATCAACTGGGCCGCGTCTAGCAGCAATGTCTCTGCTGTCCCATTGTCCTCTGCAATGCAAAACACCTGAGGAAAAGGGGGGATGAAAGCAGGAGACTAAGTGTGCGTGTGTGCGGGAGATTCGAAGCGCGTTGACAGACGACTGAGCCATGTCTAGTTGCAACGTCTTTGCCGTCCTGTATTGGTACGACACGACTTTTGAGAATTCTGGTACGACTTTCGAGAATTCTCAAAGTCATACCAATATATCTGACAGAAGACTGAGCCATGTCTGCTGCAACATCTTTGCCGTTCCGTCATCCTCAGCTAAGCAAAACACCTGCAAGGACAGATGGAAGAAGAGAACCTCTTTGCTGGTCCCTCTAGTACCCCACACACAGAGACCAGGAGAGGAGGAATCACCCAACCAGCCTGGCTTCCAAAGAAGCCCACCTGAATCTTGCAGGCGTCGAAGGTGAGTCGGGAACGCAGCAGCTGCAACAGCAGCAACTGTGATAGGCAGCCAGATGAAGAGGAGGAATCACCCACCTTGAATTCACATCATATGAATCCCATCCCATCCCATCCCACCCACCTGGATCTTGCATGCGTCAAAGGTGAGTCGGGACCTGAGCAGCTGGGACAGCAGCAACTGTGATAGATGACCGGATAGCGAGGAGGAATCAGCAACCTATGAATCCCATCCCACCCACCAGAATCTTGCAAGCATCGAAGGTGGGTCGAGACCGGAGCAGCTGGGACAGCAGCAGCATGATACCCCCATCCCTCACGATCCAGAACAGGTTGATTGTGCCGTACTGCCGGCACCCCTCCGCCCACACTTCTCTGCTGGGGAGGTACCCACCCAGCCAGGTTTCAAATATAGCCCACCTGAATCTTGCAAGCATCGAAGGTGGGTCGAGACCGCAGCAGCTGGGACAGCAGCAGCATGATGCCCCCATCCCTCACAATCCAAAACAGGTCGATGGTGCCGTACTGCCGGCACCCCTCTGCCGGTCCCTTAGGGCGGTTCACCTACCCAGCCAGCCGGGTTTCCAACATACACAGCGCACCTGAATCTTGCATGCGTCGAAGGTGGGTCGGGAGCGCAGCAGCTGGGACAGCAGCAGCATGATGCCTCCATCCCTCACGATCCAGAACAGGTCGATTGTGGCCTACTGCCCACACCCCTCTGCTGGCCCCTTCATTACCCCACACAGGGAGAGCAGGAGAGGAGGAGGAGGAATCACCCAGGCAGCCACCAGAGTTTCCAAGGTACCCCACCTGGATCTTGCATGCGTCGAAGGTGGGTCGGGAGCGCAGGAGCTGCGACAGCAACAGCATGATGCCTCCATCCCTCACGATCCAGAACAGGTTGATCGTGCCGTACTGCCGGCACCCCTCCGCCCACACCCCTCTGCTGGGGAGGTACCCACCCAGCCAGGTTTCAAATATAGCCCACCTGAATCTTGCAAGCATCGAAGGTGGGTCGAGACCGCAGCAGCTGGGACAGCAGCAGCATGATGCCCCCATCCCTCACAATCCAAAACAGGTCGATGGTGCCGTATTGCCCGCACCCCTCTGCCGGCCACTCGTCCAGCCCCTTTACAATCACACACGCCTTGCCCGCCGTGTTGCTGTCGTTGATCAGGCTCACAAACGTTGCGGAGATGTGACTGTAACGAGGGATGGGGAAAAAGAGCAGGAGAGAAAGGTACGAGGAGCAGCAATGCGCACAAAATGGGCGAACTCTGCAATTGAGGCATCTTGGAAACTCACACAGTTATTCTTGCACTGCAGCTGTTAAATCCACTACAGGAGCAAGGAAGAATACTATAGGCCCGTACCTTGATTCTTGCTGCTGCCACGCCTCAGGGTATCTGAAACAAACAATGTTGGGCTTTAAGCCCGCCAGCCCATGCTCTGCATCCAAGGGAATCCCCACTTCCCACAGGTTTTCGAGCTTGAAAATGCCGGGCTTTCAGCCTCGTACATACCTCGATTCTTGCTGCTGCCATGCCTCTGGGTATTGGAAACAGACGATGTTGGGCTTTAAGCCCGCCAGCCCCATGCTGTGCATGAAGGGGGATTCTTAACCCCCCCACATGTATGTGCCTGTGCTTTCAAAACGCGGCACGTACCTTGATTCTTGCTGCTGCCACGCCTCGGGGTATCTGAAGCAGACGATGTTGGGCTTTAAGCCAGCCAGCCCCATGCTCTGCAGGGCGATGCCCACGCCTCGCCTCACAGAGGATGCCACCATCACCTCCGCCACGCCCTCGCACTGGTTGCTGTCTATGTATGCCAGGAGACATCGGGCCGATCTACTGGCCTCTGATGCTAGGGTGCTGAAAGGGAAGGGGGGGAAGGTGGAGAGAAGGGAGGGCGAGAAGCTTCTTGGCAGTCAGTCTGGCACCTACGATCCCCACTCCTTCCCTCACAGAGGATCCAACAATCACCTCCGCCACGCCCTCGCACTGGTTGCTGTCAATATAGGCAAGCAAAACTCGGGCTGACCTACTGGCTTCTGAGGCTAGGGCGCTGGCGGAGGGGAGAGGAAGGGATGGGGGAGGAAAGTAAAGGAGGGAGGGTGGGGGGAAGGAGACTCGGCATTCAGCCGAACAGAAGGGCGATCAACCGACCCTTGCCTCATAGAGGATGCCACCATCACCTCCGCCACCCCCTCCCACTGGTAGCTGTCTGTGTATGGGAGGAATCACCCCCTCCCACTGGTAGCTGTCTGTGTATGGGAGGAATCACCCCCTCCCACTGGTAGCTGTCTGTGTATGGGAGGAATCACCCCCTCCCACTGGTAGCTGTCTGTGTATGGGAGGAATCACCCCCTCCCACTGGTAGCTGTCTGTGTATGGGAGGAATCACCCCCTCCCACTGGTAGCTGTCTGTGTATGGGAGGAATCACCCCCTCCCACTGGTAGCTGTCTGTGTATGGGAGGAATCACCCCCTCCCACTGGTAGCTGTCTGTGTATGGGAGGAATCACCCCCTCCCACTGGTAGCTGTCTGTGTATGGGAGGAATCACCCCCTCCCACTGGTAGCTGTCTGTGTATGGGAGGAATCACCCCCTCCCACTGGTAGCTGTCTGTGTATGGGAGGGAGCAGTCCCCACCCTTGCCCCCATCAAGCCAAACGTCCCCCCTTACCTGTAATTCCCTTCTAAGACAGACACGAAGATGCTCATTCCTCTGCCCTTCTTCCTCATGCACTTGGCGAAATCCCCCAGGCGTGGATGGCAGGGCGCGTCGGGGGGGAGCAGGCCCCATGGCTTGCAGAGGATGAGCGGAATGGGGTACCAGTTCTTGGGATGGACCTGAGAGACTGTGGTGTGTGGGGAGGAGGGGAGAGAAAGAGAAGGGGAGGAGAGAGAGAGAGAGATCAGGGTAAGAGCAGAGTGGAACAGCAGCAGGCCCCATGGCTTGCAGAGGATGAGCAATATAGGGTGTTTGGGATGGACTTGAGCGAATGTGACAGGGAAACAAAGCGGAGGAATAGAGACAGGAGAGATGGATATTCTGACTCAAACGCCCACCCACCTCCCAGGAAGTGCAGAGATTGCAGGGCGAGTTGCATGTAGGCTGACCATGTAGGCGGGCGGATTTGACCCCATCGCCCCAGTCAGCCGCCTTGCCATGCCAACCAGGGCTCCCACACATGCAGATGAGGGCTGTGAGCGTGAGACAGAAGGGATGGACGCTCTGACTCAACTACTCACCTCCCAGGAAGTGCAGCGAGCGCAGGGCGAGCTGCATGTAGGCTGACTTGACCCCATCGCCCCAGTCTAATGTCAGGGAGTGTGTCGCACGGAGCAGAGAGCAGAGAGCAGAGAGGGTGACGGAGGCAAGCAGGGGAGACGCTCCAAATCAGACGCTTACCTCCCAGGAAGTGCAGCGAGCGCAGGGCGAGCTGCATGTAGGCTTACTTGACCCCGTCGCCCCAGTCTAATGTCAGAGAGTGTGTCGCACGGAGCAGAGAGCAGAGAGGGTGACGGAGGCAAGCAGGGTAGACGCTCCAAATCAGACACTTACCTCCCAGGAAGTGCAGCGAGCGCAGCGCGAGCTGCATGTAGGCCGACTTGACCCCGTCGCCCCAGTCGCCCGCCTTGCCCACCATGCTGACGTAGATGTAGATGAGGACGGCTAGGGTGAGACAGACGAGCGTGAAGAACCAGGAGATTAGATACATGATGACTGGGTTGGGGAGGGGGTGGAGGGGGGAAAGAATGGGGTTAGGGAAGACTCAATGCTAGGGTGAGACAGTCGAGGGTGAAGAGCCAGGAGCAAAGATACATGATGGCTGGGGAAAGGGGAAGAACGGGGTGGGGGGAGAGAGGATGGCGGGGGTTCGGGGAGAGAGAGTGGATGAGGGTGTGGTGCTGAGTCGGCTCAATGGGCACAGAGAAGCGCTCCTGCAAAGGTGACGAGCCAGTCGCGCCAACGAGGTGGTTTTTGAGGCGCCTCAAAGACCTCCTGCAAAGGTGACGAGCCAGTCGCGCCAACGCCAGTGCGGGCGCCAGGAAGGGGGCGTATGAGGCAGTGGAAGGGGAACAGTCAAGATACAGGTGGGGCTGTGTAATGTAGGGAGAGGAGAGGACGTTGGAGAGCGAGAACTTACTGAGGGAGAGTAGGGCTGCAGCGAGGGGTTCTAGCCAGTCGTGCCCGCACCAGTGTGCTGCAGGGTGTTTTTGAGAATTCTCAAAAACACCCTGCAGCTTTGGAGTGCGGGAACTTACTGAGGCAGAGTCCAGCTGCAGTGAGGGGTTCTAGCCAGTGGTGGCAGCAGCAGCGGGGGCATTAACAAGGTCGAGGAGAGCACAGAGTGATGACAAGGAGAGGGTGGGTTGGAAGAGGCGATGCAGGTAGGAGAGCAGGCACGCACTTACCCACCAGTGGGTACCACTGGCTTCTCCTCGCAGGCACGCACGCACTTACCCAGGCAAAGGAGGGCGCCAGCGAGGGAGTCGAGCCAGTGGTGCCAGCGCCAGCGCGGGCGCCAGGAGGGGGCGTCTACGAGGTGGAGGAGGTGGGGGTGGGGGCGCCAGGAACGTGTTGATGTGATGAGGTAATGGAAGTGGGAGTGTGCGTGGGTGGGAGTGGAGGAACGTACCAAGACAGAGGAGAGCCCCTGCGAGTGACATGAGCCAGTGGTGCCAGCGCCAGCGCGGGCGCCAGGAGGGGGCGTCAACGAGGTCGAGGAGAGCACAGGAGAGGTTGACCCCGCAGTAGCAGAGCAGGAAGAACATGGTGATGACTGGCGACACGTAGTCCACGTCTCCTATCAGCACAAAGCTGCAGTGCAGGCATGGGATGAGGAGGTTGGGGGGATGGTGAGACTTGCAATAGCAGCAGAGGAGGAAGAACATAGTGATGACGGGAAAGACATAGTCCACCTCCCTGATCGGCACAACGCTGCACACGACAGGGTGGTGCGTGCACAAAGAAAACAGAGGAGAAATAACACATCGCTGAAGAAGGGTGGTGCGTGCACAAAGAAAACAGAGGAGAAATAACACATCGCTGAAGAAGGGTGGTGCGTGCACAAGAGCGTAGTCTCCGTCCCCCACGAGCAAAATACAAAGCTGTGGATGAGAAGGCAGTTCCTGATGGCTCTCCGCCTTCAATGCATTCAGCACTGGCAGCACCACAACCAGCAGCATTACCAGCAGCAGTACAACCAGCAATACAAACAGTACCACTACTATCACCAGCAGAAGCACCAGAGCAGAAGCACCAGAGCAGCACCTGCAGCAGAGCAGGAGAGTGAAGAGTGTGGCCAGATGCGGCTCCTGGTGGCTCTCCGCCTTGAATGCGTTCAGCATCGGCAGCACTTTGGCGTTGCCATTTGCAATCGCCGCCCGCAACAGGTATATCAGCAGATATATACCAATAAGTAGCAACAGAGCAGCACTACCAGCAATACCTGCAGCAGAGCAGCAGTGTGAAGAGCGTGGCTAGATGCGGCTCTTGATGGCTCTCCGCTTTGAACGCATTTAGCACTGGCAGCACATTATCGTTTGCTATCGCCGCCAGCAGCCGGGGTGCCCCCATGAGATTCTGCAAAGCTGCTCCCAGCGTTGACAGCACAATGCCCACCTGAAAGAAGAGGGGAGAGGCGAGGAGGGAGGGGCAGGGACAAGGGGAGGGACCTATGGGCGGGGCAGCCAGCAGCTGAGGTGCTCCCATGAGGTTCTGCAGCGCTGCTCCCAGCGTTGACAGCACAATGCCCACCTGAAAGTGGTGCGCGGGGGTTGCGGTGGGATGGGGTGGAGTGGGGGTTGGGGTTTGAGTGAACTCATAAGCCGTTTGAGGTTTGGGGTTTGGGGTTGCAATCGCAGCCACCAGCCGCGGTGGCCCCACGAGGTTCTGTGCTGCTGCTCCGAGCGTTGAGAGGACAATGCCCATCTGAATGGAAGGGGGGTTGCTGAGGGGAGAGTGAGGGGAGGTGGCTGTTCGACTATATGTTCTGAACGCGTTGTTAATGTGCGCAAGTGTCAATCCTGACGAGGTTAGGTTTGTATGGAGCATCCTGGTAACGGGTACAAACACACAGAGGTAGAAATTGCGGACAAACCTGGACGACAGCTGGCACACACCTGAAACATAGCTGGCACACACCTGAAACATAGCTGGCACACACCTGAAACATAGCTGGCACACACTTGAAACATAGCTGGCACACCTGAAACATAACTGGCACACACCTGAAACATAGCTGGCACACACCTGAAACATAGCTGGCACACACCTGAAACATAGCTGGCACACACCTGAAACATAACTGGCACACACCTGAAACATAACTGGCACACACCTGAAACATAACTGGCACACACCTGGACAACAGCTGGCACACACCTGGACAACAGCTGGCACACACACTGGCACACACCTGGACAACAGCTGGCACACACCTGGACAACAGCTGGCACACACCTGGACAACAGCTGGCACACACCTGGACAACAGCTGGCACACACCTGGACAACAGCTGGCACACACCTGGACAACAGCTGGCACACACCTGGACAACAGCTGGCACAGGCCATGCGATCGTGGCAGTGAGGAGCCTGATAGATGGGGGAGGGGAGAGGGGGGTGAACAGGCGTGAATAGGGGTGAAGTGGGGTGGTTAGAGCGCGGTTTGAAGCGGCTTGAGGCGTCTTGAAACTCAACAGGGGAAGAGAGCATGGGTTGAGTTGGTGTTAGACAGCTGGCACTGATAGGGGGAGGGAGAGAGGGGTGAAGAGGGAGGCATGAAAACTGGGTGAAGAGGGAGGCATGAAACTGGGTGAAGAGGGAGGCATGAAACTGGGTGAAGAGGGAGGCATGAAACTGGGTGAAGAGGGAGGCATGAAACTGGGTGAAGAGGGAGGCATGAAACTGGGTGAAGAGGGAGGCATGAAACTGGGTGAAGAGGGAGGCATGAAACTGGGTGAAGAGGGAGGCATGAAACTGGGTGAAGAGGGAGGCATGAAACTGGGTGAAGAGGGAGGCATGAAACTGGGTGAAGAGGGAGGCATGAAACTGGGTGAAGAGGGAGGCATGAAACTGGGTGAAGAGGGAGGCATGAAACTGGGTGAAGAGGGAGGCATGAAACTGGGTGAAGTTGGCCTCTGGTGGCAACAGCGCCAAACAGCTGAATGGAGCCCACATAAAGCGTCATTTTTGAGTCGACTCAAAAGTCACCTCGACACAATGGCTGCTCTGCTATAGTGAGTGGCCGTGGGAATGGATGGACTGAGTATGAGGCAAAACACACCTATCTCCACCGCTCTTGACCCACCTGTCAGACCAGACACCACCAATCCCTGGTAGAGACAGTGTTGAACAGCAGGATGGAGGCCACTTAAAGCGCAGTCATTGACACGATCGCTGCTAGAGTTTCCGGTGGGGATGGACCGCACACTCATATCATCTCCCTGCACTCCCCACTCGCCCCGTTTCCCACTCCCCACCCGCCCCGCTTCTTACTCCCTGTCATGGACCGAGAATGAGTCAACGCCACACTCATCTCCACCGCGCTTGACCCACCCAGCATTCCTACCTGTCAGTGACAAGCAGGTCCCTGGTGGCAACGGCACCAAACAGCAGAATGGAGACCACATAGAGACCAGTCATTGAGACAATGGCTGCCAGGGTCCCCGTGGGGATGGACCGCTGTGTGTCCCGCAGCGCCTCAGAGCGGTTGGATCCCGCCATGATGCCCGTCACTCCCGGGTAAAACAGCCCCAGCAGCTGGCTGTGGTAGGTAGGGTACAGAAGGGTATGGACGGGTAGGGTAGGGTAGGGTAGGGTAGGGTAGGGTAGGGTAGGGTAGGGTAGGGTAGGGTAGGGTAGGGTAGGGTAGGGTAGGGTAGGGTAGAGTCGGAAAGGGCATGAGCTGACAGGAGAGGCATGAGGCCGCATGTGTCCCCGCAGAGCCTCTGAGCGGTGGGATCCCGCCATGATGCCCGTCACACCCGGATAGAAGAGGCCCAGCAGCTGGCTGTGAGGAATAAGAGAGCGGGAGGAGAGAGAGAAGGAGGAGGAGGCGCTATGCTGTCTGTGGGATAGAAGAGCCCCAGCAGCTGGCTGTGGTTGGGATGGGGTAAGGAATGCGCATTGGGAAGGGTAGGGGGATGGACCGCTGAGTGTCCCTCAGCGCCTCTGAGCGGTTGGATCCGGCCATGATGCCCGTCACTCCCGGATAGAAGAGGTCCAGCAGCTGGCTGTGGGAGAGATGGGTATGGATGGGTACGGATGGGTAGGGTAGGGTAGGGCGTGGACGGTGGAAGAGTAAGAGCACGGCTGAAGGTTAAGCTCTACTGTGTCCCTCAGAGCCTGTGAGCGGTCAGACCCCACCATGATGCCCGTCACACCAGGGTTGAAGAGCCCCAGCAGCTGGCTGTGGGTGGGGGTATGACAGGGTACAGAAGGGTACGGGAGTATGTAGAAGGATTAGGATTAATCCATCCCGCAGTGCCTCTGAGCGGTTGGATCCGTCCATGATGCCTGTCACTCCTGGGTAGAAGAGCCACAGCAGCTGGCTGTGGGAGGGGGTTAGGGTATGGATGGTTACGGTTGGGTTGGGTTGGGTGTGGAAGAGCATTGGCGGAGGAGTGTTCGTGAAGTGAGGCGAGTATTTGCAATGCGACGGGAGTATTCGTGATGTGAGGCAAGTATTCGTGATTTGAGGTAAGAATTCGAGATGTGAGGCGAGTATTCGGGATGTGAGGCGAGTATTCGTGATGTGAGGCAAGAATTCGTGATGTGAGGCGAATACTCGTGATGTGTAATAAAGACACGTGCTGTGAAAATGTGATGCGAATATGCGAACGAACTGATCGATGAGGAAACAAAGTGAGCCACCTGCCCAGTGGAACGACAGACGTACTTAAAGCCCCAGTAGAAAGAGCCGTTAGGGTCGGGTATGCCATTGGAGTTGGTGGTCTGGTAACTTGGTAACCAGTTGGCGAAGAGAGTGGTGGTGCTGAGACCAGTCAAGCCAGCTGCCGGGAGGTGGGAGTGAGAGAGTGAGAGAGAGGCAAGAACGTTCAGAGTGGAAGGGGGTTGGCAGATGAGAGCGTTGGTTGGGAGTGCAAGAGAGAGAGGAAAAGAACGAGTGGGAGAGACACTTGGTGATGCAGAGGGTTCTTCAAGCAGGTTCAAAAGGCGCACCTGGTGCGTCGGCGTCTGGTTCGTCATAATCAGATGCCATCCAGACCATGACGCCTGGTTCGTCATAATCAGATGCCATCCAGACCATGACGCCTGGTTTTTCTGGTGCGTCTTGTCCCCATTCGGACCATGACGAGCACGGAGATGACAGCGAGGACAGTGGGGATGATGAAGAGGGAACAGGCCACCCGGCTGGTGAGTCAGCTCTAGTCTAAGACAGCAACCCAAGGCATACTCGGGGATTCGGATGGTGCCTCACCAAGCCGGTTCCCAGTGCATTGCACTCACCTGGTGATTCAGCGTCTGGAGAGAGGAATATACCGATGAAGACGGAGATGACAGCGAGAAGGACGGCGGGGATGATATGATGAAGAGCTGTTCCACCCACCCGGCTGCGGAGACAACTCAAACATAGTACGGCTTACTTGGTGATTCAGCGTCTGGGGAGAGGTAGAGGACGATCCCAATAAAGACGGACATGACAGCGAGGACGGCGGGGATGACGAAGAGCCAACTCACGCTCACCCAGTCAATCAGTGAGGTGCGTCCACCATCAAATTGCGCACACACCTGGTGATTCGGCGTCTGGGGAGAGGAATATGCCGATGAAGACGGAGATGACAGCGAGGACGGCCGGGATGATGAACAGCGATCCGACGCGGTCCACCAGGTGCACTCCTCCGAAGACAATGAGGCAGAGGCAGATGGTGGTGATGATGCCGTATGCCTGGCGGGGGGGCGGACAGGCAGTAGGGAGATGGATGAACAGGGTCGTTGGTGCAGTGGAGTGGCGCGTGATTAAGTTGCACAGTGGGAGGAGGACGAGAGAACCAACGCGGTCCACCAGATGCACTCCACCGAAGACAATGAGGCAGAGGCAGATGGTGGTGATGATGCCGTATGCCTGGTGTCGGGGGGGGTGGGGGGGGAGGGATATGTGACGTGAGGAGGTAGAAGTGGGAGGAAGGGAGAGGAGGGTTGAACATGAGACTCATGCATCAGGGCAGGGATGATGAAGAGCGATCCAACGCGGTCCACCAGATGCACTCCTCCGAACACTATGAGGCAGAGGCAGATGGTGGTGATGATGCCGTATGCCTGGTGTGACAGGGTGGGTGGGGGGGAGAGGGGGGCGTACAGAGAGAAGAACAGCTATCATCATCAGGTGCACTCCTCCGAAGACGACGAGGCAGAGGCAGATGGTGGTGATGATGATGATGCCGTATGCCCTGCAGACAGAGGCAGATGAGGCAGAGGCAGATGCCTGGTGTGGGACAGTGGCAGACAGAGGAAAAGGAATGCCCTGCATTGCACCATGTGTACCACGCCCACCTGCATGTCGTGTCTGGACTGCCCTGCATTGCACCATGTGTACCACACCCACCTGCTGCTCACCTGCTGCTCTCACACATGCCCACCTGCTCCCTACCTGCTGCTCTCACACATGCCCACCTGCTCCCTACCTGCTGCTCTCACACATGCCCACCTGCTCCCTACCTGCTGCTCTCACACATGCCCACCTGCTCCCTACCTGCTGCTCTCACACATGCCCACCTGCTCCCTACCTGCTGCTCTCACGCATGCCCACCTGCTCCCTATCTGCTGCTCTCACGCATGCCCACCTGCTCCCTATCTGCTGCTCTCACACATGCCCACCTGCTGCTCACCTGCTGCTCTCACACATGCCCACCTGCTCCCTACCTGCTGCTCTCACACATGCCCACCTGCTCCCTACCTGCTGCTCTCACACATGCCCACCTGCTCCCTACCTGCTGCTCTCACACATGCCCACCTGCTCCCTACCTGCTGCTCTCACACATGCCCACCTGCTCCCTACCTGCTGCTCTCACACATGCCCACCTGCTCCCTACCTGCTGCTCTCACACATGCCCACCTGCTCCCTACCTGCTGCTCTCACACATGCCCACCTGCTCCCTACCTGCTGCTCTCACACATGCCCACCTGCTCCCTACCTGCTGCTCTCAACATGCCCACCTGCTCCCTACCTGCTGCTCTCACACATGCCCACCTGCTCCCTACCTGCTGCTCTCACGCGCGCCCACCTGCATGTCGTGTCTTGACACCGAGAGCACCGTTTCTGCTGCTACTGGCGCAGCAGCCAAGGTTCCGTTGACAGCGGCTTCAGTCACATTCACTGCTGCCTGCACCGTCACTGTCATGGCTTGAGCTGGAAAACGGGGAGGATAGGAAAGGGAGGGAAGAGAGGGGGAGTGGTGGGAAGTGATGGCAGCTTCACTCGCGTTCACTGCTGCCTGTACCGTCACTGTCATGGCTTGCCCTGGGGAGTGTGTGGGAGAAAGAGGGGAGAAAGAGGGGAGAAAGAGGGGAGAAGAAAGGAAACAGAGGGAGAGGGGTGCAAGGGAGGGCTCTCTGCTGCCTGAACCGCCACTGCCATGGCTTGCGCTGGGAAGAAACGACTGCATGAGATGGAAGGAAGAGTGGAGAAACAGAACAGTTGAGGAAGGTGGGGATCCCTCATTGCGGCCCGCACCGTCATTGACATGGCTTGCGCTGGCAGGAGGGGGAAGGAAGGGAGGAATATAGCACAGTCATATTGTCCCTGTCACCGGCCGTTGATGGTGGCTTCAGCCGCATTCACTGCGGCCCGCACCGTTTTTGTCATGGCTTGCGCCTGTGAGAGGGATAAGGAGGGGAGGAGAGGTGGCCATTGGTGATCAGAACAGGCACACTGTAAGCCTGAAAACAAATAGCAAGGTATTTGAATTGTATCCGATATTCGACCAAATGTCAAATACAAATCAAAGCGAGTTGCCTTTCCCTATTTGACATTATTCGGTTTTCCAAACTCGCAAATACAAATACTCGGTTTCCTAAACTCGAATATTCGAACGAGTATTCGTATTTCAACCGGGTGTGCAACATACCTCTCCATTCTTGCCTTTTGAGGGCGTTTGAGCGGATAGACGGCAGTCACTGTGAGGCCCATAGTTAAAAAACTATTCAATAAAATCATACAAATACCGTACCTAGCATCTTGAAAAGGGAAGCTTGAACCTTGGTGGGGTTGCACGAACTAAAGTACAGGTTTGCTTCCTAGAACACACAATCCAGGGTGGTAACACCCATACTCGAGTCGATTTGTATTCGACTCGTAATCGAGCGCATTCGACTCGAATTCGTATTTGACTTTCAGCCACTACTCGATCAAATACAGATCGCACTAGATATTTGACCAATATTCAAATACATAACTCGTATTCGTATTCGTATTTACACCCTTAGACATGGCTCATCATGAATACATCTCGTCGAGAAGAGGACAATGAACGACTACAAACACACAGCATGGCTCAGCTTGTACTTCACGTACATGATTTATAACTGCAACGGCAGGGAGACAGAGTCCAAACCAGGGTATAGGGTTTAGGGTTTAGGAGGGGGAACGCACGAGGGAAGAGAGCCATTTGAGGCATGGCGTCGAGAAGAGTTTCCACCGCCCCCAGAATGTAGCTGCAAGGAAGTGAATGGGGGAGAGGGACAAGAGGAGAGGGGAAAGAGGGACGGAGGGACAGGATAGAAACGGAACGAAGGTGGGAAGAGAGCCATTTGAGGCATGGCGTCGAGAAGAGTTTCCACTGCCCAGAATGTAGCTGGGAGTGGGAGAGGGGGGGGGGGGGGGGGGGGGGGGGGGGGGGGGGGGGAGGGGAGAAAGAGGGGGGGAGAGAAGGGGGAATTGAAATTGAATGGAGGTAGAGGGAACGAACGTGAGAAGAGATTCATATGAGGCGAAGCGTTCAGAAGAGCTTCCGCCGCCCGGAGGCTGCTCCAGACTACCATGTTGTCTTCATTGACTCTGTTTGACTTGCAGCGATCCACCAATGGCATAGCCAAAGGAGAAGCAGAGGCCAATGCTGACCCCGTTGACCTTCCTATGGCAATGAATTGACCAAGTTGACCTTCCTATGGCAATGGATTGACCCCATGGACTGACTCCATTCGCTTTAATAAATTCATTGACTTTGGTTGACTCACAGTGATCCACCCATGGCATTGCCAAAGGAGAAGCAGAGGCCGATGCTGCCAACCCCGTTGACTTCACTGACTCCATTGAGACTTTGACCCTATTGACAGCTCCACTGGCCCCAGTGACTCTGCTGTTTCAAATTACCCCGTTGACTTGGTTGACTTTTATTGACTCACAGCGATCCACCAATGGCGTTGCCAAAGAAGAAGCAGAGGCCGATGCTGACCCCCACCTCTGGCCCCAAGGCACGGCCGATGAGATAGTAGGGACCTCCGCCCTGGGGGGTTCAATTCAAGGGATGGTGGATGGGGCATGTAGGGGATGGGGCATGCAATGAGGGAATGTGCATGGGAAGTAGGGCATGTGGAAGAGAGGCCGATGCTGACCCCCAGCCTCGGGGCCCAACCAAGTCACAGCCGATCAGGTAGTAGGTACCTCCGCCCTGAATGGTTCAAGGGATGGGCGTGGGGCATGGCCCATGGGTATGGAGGAAACAGGTATGGGGCATGGGGTGGGGAGGGGAACGCATGAAGCAGAGGCTGATGCTGACCCCCACCTTGGGGCCACTTTTGAGTCGACTCAAAAGTCACCTAGGCCCAACCGATTAGGTAGTAGGGACCTCCGGCCTTGGGGGAGAGGGGGGTTCGAGTGATGCAGCATGCAGGAGTGGGCATGGGGCATGGGGCATGGAGAATGGAACGAATGAGCATGGGGCATGGGGGAAGCACCAGCTACCCACCTTCATGGCATCGTTGGTGATGACAGCAGAGAGGGAGAGCGCTGTGATGAACGTGCTGGCACATGTGACTGCCACGACCATAAGCAAGCAGTAGCAGCAGTAGCAGCACCACAACCAGCAGCAGCAGCGGCAACACAATAAGCTTACCTTCATGGCATCGTTGGTGATGACAGCAGAGACGGAGAGCGCTGTGATGCACGTGCTGTACTGGCACATGTGACATGAGTGCCACATGTGACATGAGTGCCACATGTGACATGAGTGCCACATGTGACATGAGTGCCACATGTGACACGAGTGCCACCACCAAAACAGCAGCACCGCCACCACCACTACCAACGTTGCCACCATTACCACCATTACCACCACAAACATCACTCCAATTCCAATACCTGCAGCAACAGTGTCATCACCCCACCTTCATAGCGCTGCTGGTGCCGACAGCAGAGACGGAGAGCGCTGTGATGAATGTGCTGGCACATGTCAATGCCACCACCCAAACAAGCTTCACAAGCAGCAGCAGCAGCAGCAGCAACATATCCTCACCTTCATGGCACCGTTAGTAACAACAGCAGAGAGGGAGAGCGCTGTGATGAACGTGCTTGCACATGTGACTGCCACGACCATCAGGCTCCCGCTCACACCTGCTATGCCCACTATCCTGCCATGCACAGGGCACAGGGCACAGGGCACAGGGCACAGGGCACAGGGCACAGGGCACAGGGCACAGGGCACAGGGCACAGGGCACAGGGCACAGGGCACAGGGCACAGGGCACAGGGCACAGGGCACAGGGCACAGGGCACAGGGCACAGGGCACAGGGCACAGGGCCCAGGGCACAGGGCACAGGGCACAGGGCACAGGGCACAGGGCACAGGGCACAGGGCACAGGGCACAGGGCACAGGGCACAGGGCACAGGGCACAGGGCACAGGGCACAGGGCACAGGGCACAGGGCACAGGGCACAGGGCACAGGGCACAGGGCACAGGGCACAGGGCCCAGGGCTCAAGAATGAAGCGTCAGGAATCATGACCTGAGGGTCCAGAGCTTAGCTTAGGTCTGCTGCAAAGACAGTAACCCTGTCTGAACAGGACGCTCTGAGCACCAGGTGGGAAGACAAGAGGATAGATGGGAATGAACCAGGACAGGCGAATGTAGAAAGAAAACCCTTTCCTAGTATGTCCACCGTACCGTACACCCAGAAAACCCTTTCCTAGTATGTCCACCGTACCGTACACCCAGAAAACCCTTTCCTAGTATGTCCACCGTACCGTACACCCCTGTGAGTGCACATCCTGATGATCCCCAGGAAGTTCTGCATCCACACACGGGACGTACACCCCTGTGAGCAGCACAGGTGGGACCCCACCCCCACAACTGACAGGTGGGACCTCACCCAAAACAGGTGGGAACCCCATGACATGGCATGGCAGGCAATCAAGCACCCACCAGGAGAGGCGGATGTAGAAGATGATTCCCAGGATGTTCTGCACACACGGGATGTACACCCCTGTGAGCAGCACCGGTGGGTGGGACCCAGCCGGCCAGGGAGGACCCCCACAACAGATGGGAGGGACCTCCACGAGAGGCAAGCAAGCCAGCACCCACCAGGAGAGGCGGATGTAGAAGATGATTCCCAGGATGTTCTGCACACACGGGATGTACACCCCTGTGAGCGTGCCCAGCTTGCCCTGTGACGGTTCCTGGAAAGGGAGAAGAGGAAGTATGGGGAAGGGGGAGAGAGAAGGCGGAGCAAAGGGGTTTGTTGAGGCACCTCTTTCACAGCATGCGTGTTCTGCTCTGCACACACGGGATGTACACCCCTGTGAGCGTGCCCAGCTTGCCCTGTGATGGGGCCGGGGGGAAATGGAGAGAGGGAAATATGGAGGTGGTCAGGAGAGAGAGGGTAAGGGGGAAGGGTTGCGCAAATGCGGGGGAAGTTGGATGCTACGAAGAAATTCTCGGAGAAAAGTCTATAGCATTGGTAGAATTTGAAACATCAAACGAAACCTGCAAACAAAACCTCGAATAAGGCATGCCATGTAATCCCTTAATGAAACACTGAATCCAGTGTAACCACAAAGAAAATCATTGAGTAAAGCGTAAAAGGACATTGAGGGAAACGTCAAATGAAGCATGGGATAGAGCAACCAGCAGCACGCACATTGTCATGATCACGATGCACTTGCAGAGATTCAGTCTCGGAGTCCTGGGGACTCTTGGGGGAAAAGGCCGTGCCCATCCTGTGGTGTGATGTGATGTGATGTGGTGTGATGTGGTGGCATGGTATGAAGTCAGACGGTATGAGTGAGATAAGATAACCTTAATAGGACAGGAGAAGACACGGCAGACGGAAAAAAAAGTTAGTCGCACTTGAGATATGGGGACTTTCAGAGGGGTCAATTGTGTGTGTGGTACCATGGGACGGTGATATGGGATGAGGTGATATGGGATGGTGTGGAAAGGGGTGAAATGAGGTGAGGTGATATATGGGATGGCGTGGAACAAGGTTATTGCGATGGTATAAAATGGCGTGGAATAAGGTGATATAAGATGGCGTGGAATGAGGTGGTTTGGGAAGGCATGAGATGGAGTTCACGTGACAGAATTGGAATGAACAGTGCAATATTGAGACCTCTGTAGGTCACCCAAATTTCAGACTATTTTCACGCAAGTTTCACCAGACTTTTAACGTACTTTCAACCCATTCTCGTCGGGTGCAAGACTGAGGCGCACTAGAGCTTCAAAATAACAAAAGGGTTTATAATCTTCAATACTGTGACTTTTGACTTCCATTTTATTTAACGAGTGGAGCCATGCACCCAGCCTGCCTGGTCTCACTTCATCCGCCCCACACTGCATACATCTGCACCCCACTGCATGCCACTTCACCACAAAGCCTACCTCTTAACCCCACAGCTTACCTCTTCACCGCACAGCATACCTCTTCACCCCAATGGCATCCACCAGCCTGTCGCTCTCAAACAACTCCAGATGGTGATTCCCGAGCCTCCCTCCGAGCCTCCCTCCGTGCCTCTCCTCCCGCCCTCCCTCTGCCGCTGCGGACCCTTCCGAACCATAAGCATTCGAGCCATATCCTTCGCTCACAGTCGATCGTGCACTCAGTGTGCCTTGGCTGGTGGGAGATAAGGGGCCGGGGTGGTATGGGGTGGAGTGGGGTGGGATGGTTTGGGTTGAGGGTGGAAGTTACGAATTTTTTATTCCGAAATGGAAAACGTCTGAGGCATCTCAGAAGAAATCACCGTGCACTGCACTGCACTGCACTGCACTGCACTGCACTGCACTGCACTGCATTGCAGTGCACTGCACTCAGTACGCCTTGGGCTGGAGAATGGAAGGTGAGGAAAGGTTGGTGATTGCAAGCTAGAAACCAGGACGGAATGGCTGACGTAACGGATTGGCTGACGGAACGGCTAACGGAATGGCTGACGGAATGGTTAGCGGATTGGCTGACGGAACGGCTAAAGGAATGGCAAACGGAAGGGCTGACAAATTAGCTGATGGAATGGCTTGGCAAGATACGCCCTCACCTCGTACTCGATTCAAGGTCCACCGATATAAGCTCCGTGGTGTCCAGGTCAGCGACGCTCAGCTCGGTCAGCGGCACCCGCGAGTACAGCTGCGGTGACGATTGCGGCATTTTGGACCTCAAATACACGCAGAAGATACGAATATGTCTGTATCTTATGTTTTGTTTCCTTTTAATACGTCGAGTTTGGACGACTCGTTTCACATGAGAATCTTCACCGGGACTGTGTAGGCGTTTAGTGCTCGCTAAAATACTGCATTATGGTGTTTAGTCACATTCTGGACAACGGCCCAGCGGCAGCGCTATCGTATCCTCTCTAAAAGCTCGAAACTGTTACGTCGTCTCACGAATATTGAATCCTCGCATTTACGACGAGAATGGAAAGCGACGAGCTCCTGCGACGCAACGGTCGCACGCGACGAGCTCCTGCGACGCCTCTGGCTCCTTATCGCTCGAACTAAAACAGTAGAAAATGGAGCGAGAATGCGATGCGTCGACACCGTTTCGAAGCTTGCCCACCCTAGCCCGTGTCGGCGAGTGAGTGCTAGAACCTGAGTAAACACCCGCTACTCGCGATGACAAATCAGTAGTTCACACTTTTCCCATCTACTCGTTTATCACCCGACAGCACATGCCGAATCGCGATATCCTGTCGCGAGTTATGATGGGTGATAACAGTGATTGTTGAGATGATCATGGTTCAGGGGTCAAAGATCTCACAAGGAAGGGGACTCAGCATTTCAAAATTGTGGGCGAAGGGCAGGGAGATAGGAGGTTGAGGAAACGCCATGCCCATATGATAAGTCATGCCCAAACCACGGGGATGATCAGGGAGTGTCATTGGTCGTCGCTTGTTCAGAACCCTACCTGAACGTTACAAAAACAAGACTAACCGCTCTGAAACCTAGCAAACTCCACCCCGCCGCATTAATGTTAGCGACGTTTTACACTACTGTTCACTAGAGCTCTGCCAAAGCACTCGACACCCACCTAGGCGGTGTTGGCCAGCGCAACTAACAGCTGAAATGACGGGATCAGGAAGGTCAGTCACGCCTTCCTGAACCGTGAGTCAGATCCGCTAAAAGCTGTTCTGGCTGGATATTAGTCTACCATTTCGTCTACAAAATTAGTCGACCACCCATCGGCCACATCTTCAAAACAGACACATTTGGTAGCCGATTTACAGGGATGTGTCAGATTTGCAGTTGAAGTTTTGGCCTGATTGTGCGATATTGTCGCATGTTTGTCAATGATTGGTTCTTTCGTTGTTACCATGTGTGAGAATTGTACGAGGAATGAGAATAACTAAGGAACAGGTGGGTACAAGTAGCAAACCTAAAAGTGTTGTACCCCATATTATCTACCCCACTATAGCCTACAAAGAGTACAGCAAATAAGTTTGACACACCCCCATAGGCAAAGTGGGGGAGAACAAGAGTTCACAAAACCAGTCAAGAATAGCAAAGCAAGCTTAGGGTGGATCACGACGTCACCACACATTCCGAGCACAAGCAAGTGGCCAAAAAGGCCAGTTCACATGCAGGACTATAAATCAAGGTGAACAAGTAAGAGAATGATCACAACCTAGCAAGTGTAAGCATGCATGTACATATAGAGATCACAGTACAAGCAAAGTCAAGAAGTGAGCAAGTCAGGTAAAGTGGGAACAAGACCTAAAACAGTACAGATCCACTGATGATCACAAGGCTGAAGTGCCTTGGTGAAGATATCAGCAGTGTTGGCCTGAGAGGCCACGTAGACAAGACGAAGCTGACCACGCTGCTGCAACTCTCAAGCAAGGAAGTAGCAAAGAGCGATGTGCTTCGTTCTGTGCTCCAGTCTCTGCTCGCGACACAAGGCAAGCATTGCCTTGTTGTCGACGTACATAACTAAAGGAGAACGAGGCGCCTCGCCCAAGTCGGTCAGCAGGTAGGTGAGCTAGCATAGCTCCTGAGCAGCCATGGCCCCTGCGTAGATCTCAACCTCACAGCTAGAGCTGAGAACAGAAGACGAGCGGGTAGACCGCCAAGAGACAGAACCGGAGCCAAGGCTGAAGGTGTAACCCTGTGACGACCGCTGTGTAGCCAAGTCGTCAACCCAAGAAGCGTCTGCGTGACCAGTGAGAACAATTGGACCCCGTCCCCCAAGCACGAGCCCCATGCCCGACGTACTGCACAAGTAGCGCATCACCCTCTTAGCTGCCTTCCAGTGCTCTGGTCGATGTCTCCCGGGCGCAACGTAGCGTGCCAGGATGTTAAGAGGGTAAGCAAGGTAAGGACGAGTGCAGGTCATCAGGTATTTGAGGCAGCCCACAAGCTCAGGATACGGGTCACTCAGCTCTACAGACTCATCCGAATGCAGAGCTGAGAGCGAGTGACCGGTACGCAGAGGAGTGGACTGTGGCGAGGAGTACTGGAAGTCGAAGCGCTGAAGGACCTGCTGCACCATGTGTGACTGGGTCAGGGTGATGGTGCGGCGTGCTCTGTCCTGAGTGATCTGCAAGCCAAGATAGCTGCAAAGGTCACCCAGGTCTGTGCACGTGTATCTCTTCTGTAGCTCCGACTTCACTAGAGTGAGTGCCTCAGTGTCAGCAGTGGCAAAAACCAAGTCGTCGACGTACACGAGGATATAGAACGGCGGCAGCGAAGTGTCGGTGCGTAGAAACAGCGACGGGTCAGCAGTAGAAAGAGCAAACCCAAGAGCCGCCAGTGTAGTCCTCAGTGTGTCGTGCCACTCACGAAGTGCCTAGCGGAGACCGTAGACTGGCCGTCGGAGGCTCCACTGGGTGCCAGGAGGAGACGACCCAGTGAAGCCAGGTGGGCGACGCAGCCAGATCTCCTCATGTAGGCTGCCTTGTAGGAAGGCTGTGCTGAATTCAAGAGAGTGAACCTCGTAGTCAGGCTGAGCGGCGACGTGCACCAGCACCCGAAGAGTGGTCATCTTCGGGATGGGAGAGAAGGTCTGGAAGTAGTCAACTCCCTGCCGCTGACTGAAGCCTCGTGCAACGTAACGCGCCTTAAAGACAGTCGGAGAACCCAGCGGCCGCTTCACCCTGAAAATCCACATGCCATCAACAATATTCGCCGCAGGTGGGGGAAACTCGTCGACGTAGGTGCCTGTGGACTTCCAGGAAGCCATCTCTGCATCCATGGCTGTTTGCCACTAAGAGGAGTAGGGACCCTCTATCGCCTCTGCGTAAGAGCGCGGGGTCGGGATGTCTGGTGCATCCGGGTCTCCCTCAGGGGCAAGAAGCATGGCCACGAGATGAGGTAAAGCACAGCAAAACACTGGAACTCCTCCTGCCTGTCCTCAAGGACGTCCGAGCTAAGGGCACACTCACCCCTGACGGACGGAGGACAGACAGACTCAGACTCAGCAACAAGACTAGCAGCGTAGTCTAGACGACAGCGAGCAGCAAAGTCGACAAGCTCAGGAACAAGAGCAGATGCATCAGCAGACTCAAAGGAAGGATCACTAACAATTGTGGCAAAGAGACGTGTGACAGTAAGACTAGCAGCACGAAGGGAGTGAGACTCCGGGTCAGCAAGTCCAGGAAGAGAGGAC